GCGAGATACACTATGATCAAAGTTGCATCTTAGAGTAAGACCAGCTACAAGACCTGAAACAAATCAAATAAACTACTCTGGCTAAGATCTGTCTCTAGGCAAAGTTCCAAGTCGAAATTCAAAAATCAATATTTTTGGTATTTCTGAAGGTAACCATCGTATTTATTTCAAAAATACCACAAAAAGTGCAGTATCTTTCACATCGATAAGCTAAGAACGTAAGGTCTTTCCATGGTATTCATAGTTTATTTGGGTCTACATAATGGATCTAGTCTCGACTCACAAGCAATTGAACAGTTCGAGGACTTCTCTCATCAGTAATAAGTGATGGAAATTTTAGATCAAGTCAAACTTAAATTTTGTCAGTTTTGAAAATTTACTATAATCCTTTGCTAAAACCTGTTGCATCAAACTTTAACAATATTGAATTAGTCTCAGAATGTTTTCTATATGTTGTAGTTCGTTGACGTAATCTTGTTTACTAACTTATATTCAATAAAATGATTATTGAATCAGATTCCTTCAAGATTAAATGGATATTTATATAGAATTGATTATTTGCTCACGTATTTGGTAATCTATATTTTCTGTGGATTAGATTTCAAAAAAAAATTTTTCGACATATTTGTTTTGATTAGATTATATAAAATTACATAATACATACTAGCATACTAAATGCTATATGTTGTTATTGTATTTCGACGAAGTATGACATTAATATTGACAAATTGTAATTCACTTTTCGAGAATTAAAAAACTTGATATTACAGAATAGATAAATACTTCAAAATTGTTTCATAGTTACTTTAAATATATGTTATATCACACACAAACAACAACTTGACAACTTAAACTAAGTTCATAGATTCAAAAAAAAAAAAAGAACTACAAGGTAATACAAAAATGTGAGTTTTATATCTGACAGAAAAAATTAAAATATCATCGAGATTAATTTAACATTTATCTAAAAACCAATCATTTATATTTTCATACCAGATACGTTGTTTATTTGTATTTAAACGATAACATAATTCACAGAATCGATATGGATCAAGATCTTTTGCTTCATGATAAACATCATAATAACGTCTCCAATGATGATATTTTTCATATAAACTTTTATTTGTAGCTATTAAATTTAATGTTTGAGCAAGTTCTTTATCTGATGTATAATCATCAACATGAATAAATGAATAAGGTGGAGCTAGTCGTATAAAATTTTCACGTTCTGGTCCACTAACAATTGGTATAGCACCAAGAGCAAGTGTACGCCAAAACTTTTCTGTTATATAATCTGTACATGTTTGAGATTCAAAAGCAAGATAAAATTTTGAATTTGTTAAATAATTTTTTTCACACGATGATTGTCGATCACATTTTGAATCCAATTGAATTTGAGCATTGAGAGAGAAGGATTCATTTGATGATATACATTTACCAAAGGCAGCTATTGAATAATAATGTCGAAGTGAATGAAATTTTTTCAAACGTTTTTGTGGTTGACAATTTGATACAAACCTGAAGATTATGAATAAATGAATAAATTTCAATACATTTTCATAATTTTTCCATTTCATATTAATTAATCGAATCAAACTTTTGAAGATACGAGTCTTTGGACTCATGTATCAAGGGCACCTGAGCAAAGAGGGGCCTCTAACAAAACTTGATAGAAAGAGAGAGTCAAAAAATGCATTTTTTACCTGATCTTCATTAATGAATTACCTTTTTCTATTATTTTTGATAACTAAACTCATTGATAGAATAAAAGAAGCCAAAAAAAATAGTTCACACAGTTCAAACCTAAATTCATGTTTTTGTTTTTACTCATTCTGCTATTAAAACAGATTAGTTCTGGCTTCTTTCTTAAAAATACAGACTATCAATATGTTTATAGCCTTGACGTTGGAAAACTTGTTTTCAGGTATTAATGCACTGAATTTCTCATGAAACGTTTATCTTCAATTGGCAGAGAACGTCGAAAAGAAAAATATCGAACACAGAAACGTTGCATTATTTAAACGATATTAGAAAAAAAAACGTTGCTTTTGTTCTTGAGGGTGTGGATGTTAGTATGGTTGTAGGTCTATTATCTTCGTCTATTTATCCGCATCCTTCTCTCAAGAAGAAAATGAATGTGCAAGAACTATTGTTTAGCTTATCATTGTTAATGGAAAAGAAAAAGAATAAGATCTTATTATTTTGTCAATTTTCTCATATCGTTTTCATTTCTAAAATATTAAAACATACGATTTATCACAAAAAAAGAGCTTCACCATTTCAACATATTCGTTTTAGGACTTTTTCACTGTGAACATTTTTTATCAATATTGTTTATCTCAAAGAATTTTTATGAAGTTTCTAATTGTTATTCGAAGAATTGGAATAGAATACATACCATGCAGCTTGATTATGTCTTTTAATAAATTGTTCATCAATCCATGAATCAAATTGTTCTTTAGACCATGGTTTTTGTTTAACTATTGTTATTCCATAAGCTCCTATTGATGCTTCAGCACTTGTTCGATATGTTATTGTCCAATTAAATTTAAATTTATTTATTTCTGGTGAATTTTCATTTGGTTCATCATGCCATAAAAGCCAAATTTGTTTGAAATTTCTTTTCATTGAATTGAGTTTTTTATAATCTAAATCACGTTTATGCATTAAAAGTACGTGCGCATCATTTTCATGTGTTTGATCACATGTATATGCACTAATAAGAAAATAAATCATTTCTGTACTTTGTTCTTTTTTTTTTTTTGTTTATTGTACTTACCAATTTGTATATGGACATGTTTTACCAAAAATTTGTTCATTTGTATGTGAACAAAATCGTGGTTGTCCAAAAACATTTGTAAATTCAAGAATCAAATAAGAATTCGATGTACTTTGATCTTTAATTAATGGTAATATAATTTTTTGTTTTTTTGTTACTGCATGACTATCATCAATAAATTTAAGTTTATCTTTTTTTAAAAAATAATAATTTATATTAACACTATTATGATTATTATTTAATATATTAGTTGGATAGATAACATTGCTATAGAATTGGTCAATTTGTTGTTCTTGAATAGTATTTGATAAAAAAATGGTTGTTAAATTTATTTGAGTAAATATAAGAAAACTTAATATGAAAATAAATCCAATTAAAGACCATTTAAAATGAGATAAATAATGACGAAAAGTAAGATTAAATGATTTCTTCGAATGAATACGTTTTTCCATTTTTATAAATGAAGATATTGAATGTTAATTGTTGTTCACGTACAAAAAGAAATATTTCGATTACTATGCTCGTATTCGAATGAAAACTTTATTATTCTAAGAAATAAAATAAAATAAATCAGTATAGAATATAACGATAAGATAATCTTATTCATATAAGTGCAGCCTTGCCTACAGTTGATTTTTCTCTGCCTCAGCTATAAAAGAAAGTAATAAAAGAGTCTTACACATATCCTGTGTCTTATTAAGATACTACAACAAAATAAGGCCTGAATAAGAAAAGAAAAAAAAATTGAGAAACACAGTAAGAGCCCTGTCATATTATATTACAGAAGATATTTTTTAGCTCTACGAATTTCTTTATTTAACCTTTGACACACATTCATTTACCTCGACAAATCAAATTAAGAAAAGGCACCTAGGTTAATCTCAGTCATACGGATAATATTGAAACTTCTTGTGAAAATTAAAAAACAAAAGGGCCTCTTCTACTGATTAAAATGAGTCAAAGGGTAGGAAGGTCTGTAATACTTGTAATGTAATGAGAGTTAAATACGAGAAATGTAGTGAGAAACATATTTAATTTAAAAAACTAAAAACTCGTACTTGACATCTTATGATAAAAACAAATAAGTTTCAATTATTGAAATGAATAAATGATTGCAATTAAAATTTTTTTAAATAAAATCTTTTGTTCTTTTCTATAGAGCAGTATTTATGTAAGAGAAATAATTTGCCTTCTAGAAGTATTTTCTAAAAAAAAACTTTAATTCTTATTAGAAAAATTCTATACAATTTTACACAATAATCGTATTATCTCTTACTTTAATACGGCTAAAATACATATTTATTTATATAATAGACAACTTATGGATAGAACAATAAAGAGAAAATAGGAAAAAGAAAGATGACAAGCACTTAAATAAACATGTTCGATCAAAGCTAATATACTTCTTCTTCATTATATGGTATTCATTTATTTTTTATGTTTTCTGTCATATGAATTTATATGAAGTACTCTAGAAAAATATCTTTGAGCTAATGTTTGTTATGTATTCTTCTCATGTAAACGAAACAAGAGAAGAATAAAAATACATATCATTGTGAATAGAATAAATAAAGAAAAACAGGCCACCAACCCGTGTTAGCGAATTTTACTTTTGTTAAGCTTGTCGCATTGGGTAATTATGGTTATTTTTCTTTTCTTTCCTTCACACTGGGCTCTTCACTATCAAATAATAAACGTAGCGACAGTCTTTTTTTTTGGTGTTTATGCCATAATCGCCATTTTATTCTATGCCGTCATCCTGCTTGTTTGATCATATACGTTTTCTTGGTTCTTTCTCATTTCTCCTCTAACAAGTGCTAAATCATTTCATATTAAATAAATATGGTTCTGACATTTTTTTTTGCTCCCATAATTATTCGATAATATAAAAAGAAGAGAGTAGTTCTTCGTCGGCTTTTTTTTCTAAATAACAATATTTATGTCATTCGATTAGTTAAATTATGACAGACACCAGAACGAAAAAAACCAGTTTATTTAAAATATAAAAAAAACCTGATTCTTTTGTATGACAATGAAAGAAAAATTAAACGAAAAAAAAAACATATCATTATTAATGAATTGTGATATGTGAGTTAAATATAAAAAAAACAAGTCCACCAAGATTTCCTGATAAAAAAAAACAAAACAAAATAAAGTTGTACATAATTGAAAATAAAGCATATATAAATAAATAATTTAATTGTGAGTATCACTGTAATATCTATCTATCACTAGAAATCACTGTTTGTTGCTTAGATTTCATTTTATTATAATGATTATCATCTAATGTTATTATATCATAATTTTCTGTATTATTTAATTTATTATTAACATTAGAATTGACAACTAATGATCGTGTTCGATTAAGTAAATTTAAAACTCGTGTACGTTCAAATAAACTAAGAAAATTATGTATATATTCTTTACTTCGATCTTCCCAACGTTCCATAAATGTTTTTGATTCTTCTTCATATGTACGAAACTTTGATTTAACTGTATCAATTCGTGTTTGAAATTCAAGTTGATTTTTTTTAATAAAACCAACATTTAAATCTTGAGCTGAATAACCACGAGCTAAATTTCGTCGTACATAAATATCATAATCACGAACAAGACGACATATTATATCAGATGTTGAAACACCTTCAGTACGTTGAGTAGCAGCAAACATACCACGCATCTAAGAAAAAGAAAATATATCAACAATAATTACTCTTTGATATCATTTTGAAATTATAAATTTTGTTTTTCGTTTAAATTTTTTCCCCTAACACAGACTTTTAGTAAGCATACTAGTTTTTTTTTCTCTCATTTCATATAGGATACATTACGACCTTGAATGTTTGGATACAATTTCAAATGTCAAGGTATGATTGTTTATAATTGACAATTATAGGAAATGATAACATATGTTATTCTTTCCAGCTGTTTATAAGAGTTGTAATGATTGTTCTAAATTTATTTATAAATCTCTAGGGAACCAGAAACTATTCAAAATGATAAGAATAAGTTTTTTCAATATCTTGAAAGGTTCATTATTATTTTATTAGACTTTCGATCTATGTCAATCGAACTGAAATATAGAGATAATAAACATTCTTCAGAACATGAATGTTTCAACAAGACGAAAAAAAAAATATTCATTCGTAGATGAATACTAGATTAACAATAAAGTAGTAATCCCAATGGAAAAATTTTCCTGTTTCTATCTTCTCTAATTCCATTAGGACTAATTCTAGACAAGTCTTTAGTCAAAATAAAGAAAAAAAAATAATTGAGAGTGATTCTTAAGTCAGATTTCTATGTGCAACACAATACAACTCATGCTCTTGATACGATTCTTATAGAATAATCCATTTCCGACAACATAGAACTAAATTAGAAAAAATTTTCATTCATTCTTTTTTCAGGAACCTGCAGAAATTTGAAAACATTGAGTTAAAATTAGAACTTTGTGTTCTTTACAAATATGGGTTCAAAATTTTTGTAAGATTTCTGGTTTACAAGACAAGAATTGACCTTTTAGAGTATGCTCAAAAATTATTTTCCATACAGAGAATAAAAGAGCAAAAATTTTTTCAATAAAATGATATATTCATGATTAATTAGCTCTAAGTCATTTGCTCACATCGAGCATTTTGGTAAGAGATATTATATTAATTTAGATATTGTTGTCGATTTCTATGATACAAAGACTCATAAAGTGAGTTCAACAATTTCTGAAACTGTTTATTCTTATATCACTTTGTAGAAAATAATTTAGCGCTTTGAATTCTATGAAAAAAAAAAGGTAATTTTCTTCGTTCAAACTTAATTTTCACATCTCTAAAAGTTGAGCTCATAGTTTCTATACTAACAGAGCTCTACGAGAATTTGAAACTTATATTTGACCAGAACACAAAATCCTCACTCTTATTCAAAGTTTGTCATTTTTTGTAGGCTCTTGAAAAAGACTCAAAAAATGAAATGCAAAATTTCATCTATATATAATATCGGATAAGATTTCTTTTTTATAACTTACTTTAACATGTTGATAAATATCATCATTATCTTCTGCTCCGTATGGAATTTCATCATGTGCAACAAAATCAATTTTATTTTGTGCTAAAAATTCATCATTAAGTGACCATGGTGCATCTATTATAACTTCATCAACATAACGACAATGGCGAACACTTTCATAACGTTCAGCTTCATTCATTACTGTTTTACCTTTTCTACTATGTGTTAATTGATCATTACAAACACCAACAAGTAAATACGCATTTTTAAATAAATTTTTTGCTTGCATTAATTGTCGAGCATGACCAGCATGAAATAAATCATAAATACCTAAATTTTCAAAAAATAAAATAAATTTAATAAGAAAAAAAATCAATTTTAATTTTCTTTACCATCAGCATAAATACGAATTTTTCTTGGTACTTTATCATTTTTAGCCATATCTAATGTAATTTTTATTGAATAATCACAATTTTCACGTTCTTTTATAGCTTTTTCTTCATAACATAAAGGTGCTGGACCTAAATTAAGATCAACATTAACAGCAGTTATTCCACTAAATTGCATTGAACTTTTAGTAATTGTTTCATTAATATCTTTGTTTTTTGATTCTATTAATATGTCTTCAGAGGACAATTGTTCATAATTATTTTCTTTCAATACTGGATTATTTGTATTAGTAGGATTTTCAGCTGATGCATCATGCCATTCATCAGTACATATAATGCCGTCAGGTGTAATTATTGTTGACTTTTCACCCATTTAGTCTCTGATGTTAAACATCAATATTTAAAATAAAATATAAAATATGAAAACATTGAGAGATTTTATATTAAATTATAGAAAGTGTGAAAGTTTTTTTTCTTCGAAATTAAATCAAAAAGAAAAGAAAAGTTTCTCAAAATAATAGTATTTTATTTATGTAATAAAATCATTTACTTGAACTTGTTGTATTTTTTTTGTGCTCGGAGACATGAAGTAAGAATGTCTTCTGACCTTTTTATTTCCGCTCGATATCCGTAGTATTCCCAGCGCTAACTAAGATAGAATTAATGAGATCTTTTAGCTGATAGAACAAAACAAAAACGAACAACTCAAACTGCTGAATCGTTAATCCAATTAGTAGCAAACCTATTTGGACCTATTTGTCAGTAAATGTAATAGAATTTTTAGTTTTTACGATGTAATAAAAAAGTGAATCACGCATTCAGCATATGATCTTGAAACGAAAAACAGAGATAAACTATGAACCAGAAGCAAAATATCAGCTGCTAATTGATAGATGACGCTAGTAATTGTTAGATTAATTGTATAGATTGTTAGATTTTGGCTGATTGATTATTTTCATTATGTAAAAATTTTAATGGCAAGAAGATTAGGTATAAATCGCTGTCTGTACGAAAAGAATAATCATAGAAGTGTCTCTCTAACTTGTCAACATTCATTGTTAATGATGACTCATTCAAGTTACCTTTTGTTCTGCTTCTTTCTTTCCTTTCTTCAGAAAGAAAAGAATAGAAGGGAGTTTAATACAGTTTCGATTGAATGCTGATCTGTCCGTAGAGGCTTATTCATTCATTCATCCTTTAGTTCAATATGACACTTCCGTTCGTTGATCAGCATGTGCACACAAAAACATGAACGTGATACATATGTGCATGCATACATAATAATGTGTATCGTTGACTAATCAGTGAACATTTCTTTGTGTGTAACAAATAGTCACACAAGTGTTTTTTTTTAAATCAGCCATTGTTCTTCTCCATTCAATTTTCTAGATTTTCTTTTTTTTTGATTTTGTAAAATTCAACATTTACAACATGCCAATAGCAAACAACAATCACAATTCTTCACCACCTAAAACAGATGTAAGATTTGTTTGCATTTTCAAATTCAAAATAAACGTCATCATTAACTAATAGATAGTGTAGAATTTCTACATTGATTTTGTTTTCAGTATAGAATGATAACAAATCAACGTAGAGATTCAGTAGTTTTCTTGCTTGAAAGAGCAAAGTCTCTACTACAAAGCTGTCGAAAAATACTGAGTGCGAAATATTTACTAAACGCTGAAAAGTTTTAAGAACATGTTAGACAGGACAAAGCGCTTTACAATTTCGCACAAGATTAGTGATGGGATGTTCATTTGATCGATTTGTCTTGCACTCGATGTTCGAAATTGTTAGAGATACGGAATGTTTGAATATAACCAATGCTATGTAGGCTTTCTAGTAATATCAAAATACTTGAGTTCCAAAACCGTAGGTTCCATAGGAAACAGTTTTATTCAAAACTTGATTTTTCTCATAGAATCTAAAAGAAAACTGTCTTCTGTTTTTATATATATATATGCTTTTGTAGAGGACTTACTAAAATCTAATTGAAGATAAAATATAGTTTTGTTTTAACTTCAATTATTAGAAAAAAATCTTATTTTTCGAAATTACTCATTAGTTATGAATATTTTTCGCTGGAGAACAACGTTAGAAAAATCTCGAGTACGAATTTAACCAATACCTTGAAAATTTTGTTTTTACCTCTTTACAATGTCCTATTGTAGTACTACAGAATCCCATCAAGAACTAAACTAAAACCGAATTTCGTAGTGAATAAATGTTTTGTTCTAACCTCCAGAACTGTTCAGAGAACTTTTCGACAAAAAAAACACGTTTGTGAAAATTTTCACTTTTCAGTAAGTATTTTGGATCAAATATTTTTCGACAGTTGTATAATAGAAACTTCGCTCATTCTAACAAGAAAAACATCGAATATTTAAGACTATTTGTTTTTATACTATACGAAAAGAAAAATTAATGCAGAACTTTTGCACAATTCGTTACTTACTTGAAGTGCACTTTTATACGACTCGAAGCATGTTTATATATCATCCTTTATTTGAAAAAATAAATTAGCAATCTGTTGCCAATAACCAATTGAAGAATATCAAGTCAAACTAATATCATTTTTCTTCTCATCCTACTCATTGTTCCTTGTAAGATATCATGTACTTTATCAGAACGAAAAATAGCAAAAATAGGAGGCAAGAACATAGCAAAATCGATGAACATTCTAAGAAAAACAGAGAAAACAGGAAGAGAAATGTTCTTCGTTGAGATGTCGACGGTAGCAGCAATGTAGCATCAACCAACTAGATCCTTTAAGTTAGTCAAGGACAGAAAGCAAAAAAATAAACTAGAACATGTCATCATCATTCTCAGACGTAGAAGAACAAACAAATTCATCGAATGCTTGTTTTTATTTTATTCCTTCAAAAAATGATCATGAACAATTACCATGTAATTCAAATCCTGATTCGAATTTTTATTGTATTAAAAATGCACAACAATCTTCTTTTATTCCTTCGACATCATCAGTATTAAGGCCAGGAGGTGTAAATAGTATTTTTACTATTATTCCATCAATGTCACAAGATACAGCTAACCCTAAAGTATGGAATCAGCTGGTGACATTGATTTTATTGTTGTGTTTCTGTACTCATGTGTTCTTTTTACCACAAAAAAAAACAAAGCAATCATAAGAGTTTAATGATGACTATAGCCACAAGCTGTTTATCTTATTCAACAATCAAAATTCTTGTCTCTGAAATAACTATTAACGCTACTTCTTTAGAAGCGAAAAAAAAACGATTTCTCTATGAAAAGTTGATTTCAATTTGTTTTTTTTGTTGTAAGATTACAAATAATCTCATATTTGAATGCGAAAACAAAAATCAAACATATAATTAAAATAATCTTAATGTACAATCAAATCATCATTTCATTTAATATTTTATTTCTTTTTAGTCTTCACAACATCGTCTATTAATCAAGGGTGGTCGAGTAGTTAATGATGATGGGACAATGCTTGCTGATATTTTTATCGAAGAAGGTATTATCAAGTAAGTTATAATTAAAATTGTCCTTTTAAAAAAATTATTAACTTTTCTTTTTTCTTTTTTTGTATAGACAAGTCGGTCTTAATCTAACTGTACCTACTGGAACAAAAACAATCGATGCTACAGGCAAATTTGTTATGCCAGGTATTTAGTTATTTATTGTTTTTATTTTTACATATATAAAGTATTTTCAGGTGGCATTGATACACAAACTCATCTAGAATTGCAATTTATGGGTACAAGAACAATTGATGATTTTTATACGGGTACCAAAGCAGCAGTCGCTGGTGGCACAACAACTATTCGTATGTATAAGAGAAAGAAAAGAAAAAACATAGTAGTCAAATCTTTTAATCTAGCATTATATTGCACCAGTTGTAGGTAATTCACCTAATTCAAGTGTTGGATTTTCATAGACAAAAGATTCTAATAGTGTTGGTTTTTGTTCTCCCGTAGTAGTTGATAGGGAAATCAATGGATTTTCAATGACTAATGTTGCTGGTTCTTGTTGCCGTTGTTGTTGTTCAAGCATAGCTAAACGCTGTGGTGATGCTATTAGTGTCATATTATTATGATAATTATCACTAATAAATGATATTGTTGAATTTGGTCGAAGATGTCTAGCTATATGTTGATTGATAATTACTGAATGAAGATAATCTTGATGTTCTTGTTCTTGTTGTTGCTGTTGTTGTTTAGATAGTTGAGAACTTGACGTTAATTGATTACGAAAATATCGTTTACAACAACAATAAGTTGTTAGTATTGAACCAAGTAATAATCCTGTACCAGCAGTAACCCCGACGATGACAAAGATGATATCAGTCATAGCATATCTAGGAAATAAAAGATCAAACTAAATGTAATATGTTTCTTTTTTTCTTGATTAGTTCAATTGTGTCATGTGTGAAGAAGAAAAAAAAGATCTGATTTTTTTCTCTTTGACGGCTGGCAGCGAGATAGTCAAATCAAAGTGTTCAATGTATTTTTTTCCTCTTCGTCTTCTTCTTTTTTTCTATGTTCTCTATTGCTCACCTGACCTGTTGAACTAACTTCCTACGTCCGATGTACGATGACGAATGGGAAAGGTAGAAAAGTTATAATGACAATAGAGAATATGAATCTGTTTTCATACAATATATATATATGTTGCATATGATTGAAACTACATCGTCGTCGATCATTTTGATGATGATGTCATGAAATAAGGCGACAGCTGATAAAAGATATGCATCTTTTACCATGCATTTATATATGCGCACTATAGTGAGTGACCGTACAAACGGTAAAAAAAAAAAAAAGAAACCGAGAGAATAAAAAATCGAAGCACGCTACCCTTGAACGTATCTCTACAATCGTTTTTTTTACTCATAATATACATACATGTATATGCCATTTTTAGTTTTTTCATTCATTTCTTGCATATTGATTAGATTTGTTACGTATGATACAGTCATTTTCTTGGTTGGTCTCAACCCAAACAAAGTGATTAACTGTCTATCATTCTTTCATATTTTACTTTTGTTTCTTTGCGTTCATTCAATCACTACTGTCGTTTATTAATTTGTTCGCAAGCTAAAATGAGAAAGAAGAAAAAGAGAAAAAAAAGAAAACGTGAAAGAATCAGATTGCATCACTTCTTTTTTCTTTTCTTTTTTTTTTTACATAGCATGATGGTTATTGTGATGTAATAGAAAAGGCATTTAGATCGACCTAGAAAACTAATCAATAATTTTCATATGATGAGAATTCGAATATAAATATTATGATCACTATTTTTGATATATAAAATTTAGTTTGATCGCTATCAACTGAATTATGAATACATATAAAAGACAATATTGTTTTTTATCTTCTTGTATCCTTTGTTTTTTTAACAGTTGATATTGTTATTCCAACAAAAGAACAAACACATCTTGAAGCTTATAAACAGTGGCGTGAACGAGCTGATTCAAAAGTTTGTTGTGATTATGGTTTACATATTGGTATTACACATTGGAATGAACAAGTTGCAAAAGATATGGAAATACTTTCGAAAGAAAAAGGTTTGACAAGAGATATATAACTAATTACAAAGTGTTCTAAAAAAATGTATACACAATCAAAAAAAAAAATCACTAGTGCAAGAAACCTTGAGTAAAATTTTACATGATTTATGTGAAATGGTAGAGGCGATAAAATATTGTTTGGAGCTATGCCTTTACTTTACTAATTTTATTCTTATTAAATAAGAAAAAAAATCAAAGACGTCGTTTAAAGGGGGAGGGGGGAAGGGATCGGACACGAGGTGCTTCCTACTTTTAAAAATTGTCCACACAAGGTCCTTTTTTCTGAGACTCTATTGTGCGTCCGCTATCCTATTGTCAATACCAGAAGGAAAAGCTTCCCTATCTTTCAGCTATCTTGCAGCAGATTCACTAGCCTGATATGTTATCTATAACTATAACTGATTGTAGTCCAGAGCAGAAGGTTAGCCTGATACAGAACTCTGGTGTTCCATTGTTGGAGCTCTCTATACATACTAACTAACTACGTACTAGCCACAAAAGTAGATGTATGCTACAATTTAGTCAGCATGCTATCGAATGAGCGTAATGAATATGTGTCGAATAACAAATCTACTCACCCATAGCGGCCTACTGCTAAGTTACGTCTCTGAAAACAATGAAAAATCGTGATGAGTTCGGTTAGAACTTGATTTATAGACAGCTATTCATTACTATAATCCTAATGTATTACTGGTGTATACATCTTCTTAGAATATTCTGTATAGACTAGTATGTAAATTAATTTTTGGTTTAGGTATTAATTCATTCAAAGTTTTCATGGCTTATTCAGATAATTTTATGTTACATGACGATGAAATATTTCAAATATTTTCAAAATGTCGTGAACTTGGTGCCATTGCAATGGTACATGCTGAAAATGGTTCAGTAATTAAAGAATTAGAAAAGGATATATTAAAACTAGGCATAACAGGACCTGAAGGTCATCTTCTTAGTCGTCCAGAAAAGGCAAGAGATCATAATAATAATTATTAATCTGTATATGATTAATAGATTAACTATTTTAGCTTGAAGCTGAAGCTACAAATCGAGCTATTACTATTGCTGAACAATCTCGGTAAAATTTCATTAAAAATAAGATAGTTAAAACTTTTAATTTTATTTTATAGATGTCCTCTTTATGTTACACATGTAATGAGTAAAACAGCAGCTGATAAAGTACAAGAAGCACGATTAGCAGGTAGAATATATTTTAGTATTATATATAAGTTTATTTTTTCTAAACTAATGATGTTTTTTTTTCTATTTTAACAGGTCAAGTGGTATTTGGTGAATCTAATGTTGCAAGTTTAGGTACTGATGGATCACAATATTTTAATAAATGTTGGCGTCATGCAGCTGCTCATGTTATGTCTCCACCTCTTCGTAATGATTCAACAACAGGACATTATCTTATGGATCTTTTGGCTAAGTATGTATTTTTATTACTCTTTCAAACGATAAGAAAAATCAAATAATAATTCTTCTAGTGGTTCATTATCAACAACTGCTACTGATCATTGTACGTTTAACGTAAATCAAAAAGCTTTAGGCAAAGATGATTTTCGAAAAGTAAAACGATTTTTATTTTATATATCAATAGAAGGAAGAAAACCTGTTCTTTTTTTTTCTAAGATTCCAAATGGTACTAATGGTATTGAAGATCGTTTATCAGTTATTTGGACTAAAGGTGTTGAAACAGGCAAACTTGACATAAATCAATTTGTTGCTATAACAAGTTCTAATGCAGCACGTATTTTTAATATGTATCCAAAAAAAGGTCGTATTGCAGTTGGTTCTGATGGTGATTGTTTAATATGGGATCCACAAGCAACAAAAACAATATCTGTTTCAACACATCATCAAGCATGTGATTTTAATATATTCGAAGGTTTTCAATGTCATGGTTTACCTGTAATAACTATTGTTGCTGGTAAAATTGCTTATGAAAATGGACAAGTTTGTATTTGATTATTATTTTTCTTGAATTTTCTCATTTTTTTTTTATTTTATTTATTATAAATTTAGTTACATGTTATACAAGGTTCAGGCAAATATATTGAAACAACATGTTTTACTGATTATATTTATCAAAAATTAAATAAACGAGAACAACTTCGTGAACAAGTTAAATGAATAATAAGAAATTAATTTTTTGATTTAAAACTATTATTTGTATTTAGCTTATCAAACAACAAAAGATTGAACGTGAACCATATACAGGTGAAGTTATCGATGTAAATAAATCAGTTTCAAATGGTGATTCGAAAACAAGTCCAAAAAATCAAACAATACATAATAATCATGAATTACCAGCTGCTGGTTTTCATAATCGACCAGCAACACGTGCTGGTTAGTATGAATAATAAAATTTCTTCTCATACATACATATATATATATATATAACTCAATACTTTAAGGAGCAAGAAATCTATTTGATTCAAGTTTTATGCTATCAGGTAATCATTTTTATTTGTTATAATGATTAATTTTAATAGATAAATATTTCTAGGTGAACAATGGGATGATGGAAATCTTCGAAAAACAACACGTGTTCAACAACCACCAGGTGGACAATCAAAAGGTAAAATAATGAAAATTTTTCATTTTTTTTTCTTGAATTTTTACTTTTATAATTTAGGATTATGGTGAGAACAATGAAGTTTTACCATACGTTTACCAATGATAACTTTTTTTTCCACTATTTGCTGCATGTTCTTGCATGTAAATCTTGTAGATCATTATTTTACATTAAAAAAAAAGACAATGATTGATTGCATGCATATACAATCTTAAGAAATATTTCTTTTTGTTTACTTACATATTTATTATAGGGATGTCGAACCAAATGGTTCCTCATAATCGTACTTATTTAAACAAGACACTATGGTTTTTTTTTTCTTATAACTAGCAGTATTTTACTAACATTTTCTTTCTTTTTCAATCATGTATTTCTATTGTATTAAAAACAACGAACTTTCCCTATGTTCCTTTTGCGTTAAAACATCTGTTTCTTTAATCCATTAGATTGTGTTTCTTTTCTCTCTCATATTGATATTATACAATTCGTATTAAATAAAAAACGTGTTTTCTTCATGACTAAATAGTTGACATACTATTGTTCTTTTATGAAACTATAAAAAAAAAAGCAAATTCAAATCATTTATTGATTTATTTTTTCTCAACAATAATTTTTAATTATTTTTTAAAAAATAAGAAGGATTATGATAATATCAAAAGTCGGAAATTTGGTTTGTTTAACACAAAAAGGAAGAAGGTTCATAGTAAGCTTCTTACGAGAATTATAAGAAGAACAATCAAAGAGTAGGACAGCTATCGTAAGAAAGAAAAGGTTATCAATGCTTTTTTTAAGTTTCAGTTAGTTTTTAATAACAGAAAAATTATTGCATAAGCTTTTTTTTTTATAATTCTACCTAAACTGTGATAAACAACGGTTTATTGATGAACCTGAACGAATCGATTATTAATATGTCAAGCAGGAAGGTATTAATAATTGTTTGCAATAGAAATACTAACCACAGAAAAACCTATGAGATTGTATCATGAATAAAATATATGGAAAACATATTCGCATTAGAACATATATTTGAAAAAAGATGAATATATTTTTGATTTACACTTTTAGAAAATCGCTACAACATTATATAACAACAATACGATATTTACGATCACTTGCACGTCATTAAGATACCTATGGGTATTTGTTTTCCTATTTTTTCATGCCACAAGAGACAATCTACATTTATTACAATCTAAAAGAAGCAGAAAATTCTTCAAAATCTGTCATAAGATATTCATCTCCGGCTTTGAATATTCTTGTTTCATAATCAGATATTCACACCCGATAAAATCTTCTTATATATGATTTTTTTCAAATCAGTAGCGTTATATTTTTGTTTTGTTTTTTTTTGGAAAATGATCAATTGCAGTCAAACAAAAACATGTTTAACGCGCACAGCACATTGAATGACTTAGGTTTTTTTTTTAAATAGAACTCTACAGAAATTTGAACAAACAAAAAAATAAGCGAAAAAAAATGTATGCTTAAATGTTCCATTTATGATCTTGGCCTTTTTGTTTTATTCTTCATGACATATTTTGTGGTGCAGCTTCGTCGTCATTGTTTGATGCTGTACGCTGTGCTAAGAATTGTTCATAAACTAAAGAATGATATAGAAATATTTAATAGGAATTAAAATCATATTTTTACCTTCATTGTCGATTGGATATCGAGGATGATCATATTTACTAAGACGAGCTTGATGATAAAGTTCTCGCAGAAGATGATTGTAATGTTCATCACTATCACTTTCAGCTCGTTTTCCCCATGCTGATGACATACGTTTTCCCCAAGCCGATGACATTCGTTTACCCCACGCACTGCTCATACTACGAACAAAAATAAACAAACAATTAAAATTCATGATTCTAATCGGTAACATTGGCATTGAAGAAAATCTTGTTTTTTTTTTTTTTTTATGGTATTTATTTATTAGACACGACAACAAGACAGGGCAAAAGTTTTTTACATTTTAGTTGCCAATGTTTATAAATCCATGCGTAATGACATGGACTTCCGTTTGTCAATATCATTTTCATCGGACAACAAAATTATGAATATATATATATATATATATTTGATTTACATTATTCCATTTTAAATAGAAATTCTCTTTAAAAATTGACATTATTTTGAGTTTTTTTATTCGACACAGTATGTCATAGGAAAAATTCTCATGTCATAATGTAAACATTATACGCATACAATATCTAAAATGATTTATGAGCGTTGAGACCAGAGAGGTAAATTGAACAATTGATCACGTCATGTAAAATAATATTTATTGTGTCTTTGAACTTAGAACAAATATGTCTTGTTCTCTTCAATTTTAACAAAGCAAAAAAAAAAAGAAAGTTGATTCGATTATATAGTAACTAACAGGCGATGGGAGGATTCGGTAAATGTATATGACAATTCGAATTAAAGTACGAAATGAAACATAGAAAGACAACGAACAAAGGAAGGCTATCATGTCATTAAGCGGAAACACTATGTGACAATGAATAAAACGGAAGCTTGGCGCACACATAGGTAGTCTCTATAGTTTTTAGTACAGACTTACCGTTTAAGGTTGTTGTTGTCCAAAAAACTCTGCGTGAGTGTAGCTTGACTAAAGATTGTTTGTACCAAAATCATCAAGACAGCAAATATAAAGACGTATAGCTTCATGTTGTTGATTGACAATGAAGAAGAAGAAAAGATGAAGATGACGAAATAAGGAGTAAAGATCAATCTAAAACGAGCTCTCATCAAAATAATCTATATGTATATAAATATAAAGAATGTTTTAAAGACGAAAAGAAAATACTCAATCTTTCTCTCGTCTAATCGATATTGGAGAACATAATTTTGTCAACATGATGTTCTTCAAGATTTTGTGGAAGAAAATTTTCATTTCAATCCTATGAACTTATGTGTAAAAAAATACATCCCATGAAGAGTATGTGTCGTTTTGCGTGTATAAGAGGTGAATGAATGGCATTAACGAAAGCTAAAGGAAAAGAGAAAGAGAGACAAAGAGAAATACTAGAGATTTTCTCAGTTCTTCTCTGTCTCTCTCTCTCTCTCTTTTATTCTCTCTTCCTACCAATCTCCGCCTTAGTAAAAGCTTTTTTTCCGCTGATCGGTATGTGGCAATTACTATTATTTGCAATTCTATTCACAGCAAAAATAAAATATTTACGAAAAAAAAACTGATTTATTTGATACTTTTATTGTCTTATTTAAAATCTACTTTACGGACATAATAAACGAATATATTGTTCATACAAGAAATAATTTGCACTCAATATATCTAATTTTCATTTTGATCAAAAAACAGAATAGATGAATTCTCATCCAGATGTAAGAACGTAATACAGATAAATATATAAAGACAATAGCAAAAAAAGATGATCATTATGTTTAATATGACTTCTTGGATGAATATTTTTACTAAATAGTTTGTAAACTAATCAGATATTTGTATTCTATCTGTTGAATATTATTTAAATTAAATCTGCTAGTAAAAAAAAAAAAGAATCTTATTATCATGCATCAAAATCATAATAATAACAAAAAATAATAGATTATACAAGTGTTCAAAATATATGTTAATCTTTTCTGTTCTTTTTTTCTAGATTTGATCAAAAAAATTCTTTGTTTAATGAAATATATTTAACAAAAAAAATAAAAATAAAACCATTTTTGTCACGCAACTGCATACTACGAATATTGCTTATGCTAATGTCTTAACCTTACGTGTATTCTACAGCTATATATAGTAAAGCGAAAACTAATTACTACTAAACCAAAGTTTGCCGGACTTATGAATAATTGTTTTCTTTTCAGTTGAGACAAAAATAGAAAATGTGTCTTCAAACTATTTTCCTGAGTATGAGAAAATTTGTTGACAGACACCCTTTTTTTAATGAGCCAATCTGAATAAAAATAAGTGAAATATTATCAGCAAGATACTGTCAACTAGAATAAAGAAATTACAGTGCATTAATTAATTCAAAACAAATATAATGCATGGCTGAAAGAGAAATCGATGGGTCTAATCTCAAAGGTAAAATGTAAAGACATTGTCTGATTTTAATATTAATTTTTGAATTGAGCAGAATCAAATTTACATCGAAAATATTCGAGTTAGCCTCAAAATACAGCTACAATTTACATGAGCCTACTGTCAATTAGCTATAGTCTGATCTGACGCGTCAACAATAATCATCAGTTCTGTTCAAACTATTACGCGCGAATATTAGACAATGTTTTCAACAATTAATTATCATCAATATGAAAGACGTATAACAGTTAATATCAGATGATAAAACCATTGTTTTTTTACATGAATAATATAGTGATGTTGTTTACTGAAGAAAATGTTTACATACTTAACATCTGTTTTTATCTTGCAGATAAAATCAAACCTAATTCTCACAATATACAATTGTATATTATTACTTAGTAGAAAAGTTGTCTTCGATTACGATCATCAATTTGATATGATAATGATATTTACATTTTCTATTTATTCACTCCGCGAAATTAATAATAATACCATCTGTTAGTCAAAGACAATTATATATGGATAGGACAATATGATATTTTTGCTTTTTAGTTTTTCATCCATAAATCGACATACAACCCACTCATACGTACTCATTTAGTGAATAAAAAAAAAAACAAAATTCTTATTTTTGATGTTGATCATTATTTCAGATAGATCATGCGTTGTTAATATTCTAATTATTTCATGATCGAAAGCATTTTAACGACTTTCTTTTGTTGGTCTAAGTACTGTGCTTGTATGCATCCGTGCATATTTCCTTAACGAATCATTCATGGAATAGATAATACAGATGCTTTTTCTGTATTTCCGATCAAGCGCCAATTTTGTTTATTTTGATTTTTTTCGTCATATATATATATAAATACATACATACAAAAATCTCACCCGCCTATAATTACTCCTACGTCATTATCTTTGAATATTTTTCATTTTGTCATATAAGTTTTTTTTTTTTCTTAAATTTTGCAATCGAATCAAAATAAATATGATGCCCGTGTCATATACTAATAGTAACAATAATAATTCTCAAGCAACAATAGTTTATGTTTCCTATGAAGGATGTTGCTATGAAGTACGAATACGTAGTGATAGTGATGCACGTATACTTGATATACTTTATGGTTTACAACGTGCATTATGTATTCCACAATATGAAATGATGTTATGTTTTGGTCAACAACGTATTGATTGTCATCAATTTTGTTCACTTCGTTCACTTGGTATACCTGAAGGTTCAACACTTTATTTATATCGATGTTCATAATGGCAAAAACAAATTAGCAATATGTGTTTTTTTTTTCTTTTGTGTTAACTTATTTATTTTCCTTTTTATAGTTGTGTTCAAGAAGACAAGAAAAAAAAAATAATAAGGATTTGTTTGAACAAAGAGAAAAAGTAGAAGAAGAACAAAGAAATAGTGAAAGAAAGAACATACAACAAGCAACAACAACAACAATAAGAATAATAATAATGATAATAATATTGAATCATCTATAGAAAAAAAAAGAAATGAATAATGATCAAATTTCTACATTTGTAAACGATAAATGAAATAAAAGAAAAAGATCATTATCATCATCATCATAATCATTCACATTTGTTTTTCTTTTGTTTTTCAATACGCACACACACACACACACATTCACACATACATAGACAAACACAATTAAGTTAAGAATAAAGGTAAAAAGTCTAACTCTCTATGTACATATAAAAGACATGAAAATGAGAATCCATTTTTATTAAATTTTGTTGCTATTCATACTTATTGTTGATGATTTTTCTAAATTGCTTGTATTACTTGTTTGCTGTTGAGCTTTTGAAATGTAAACATTCAATAATTTGAGCTTAAAAGAAAACAAATTAAAATTATTTTACATAAATAAAAAAATAAAAAAATAATTTTCATTTCATTCATTTTAGCATATAGAATATTACTGATAACGATCGATGAAAATAGTTTAGATTTCAATGTTGACTATTTGTCAATAGAGTCCGTCGGAACCGGGTCTGAATATTTTAGACCTGAGGGGCTCTCGTCGTTCGAGATATATGTTGGACGTGTAAGTCACCGAACACAATAAACCGGAAAAAAAGTATTCCATAGCTTCGAGGCGACTATTAAATTCCTATTAGAAATTTTCATTGAGAGTATGAAAATATGGTTCAGTCAGATCCAAAGTTTTTGGATCCGATGGACTATGGTCATCAAAATTCAAAAGCATGATTATATATATTCTCGATCGTTGAAATACGAAATCTTTATTTAATATTTTAAAGTATTTTAATAAAACATGAACTAGATTAAAAAAGAAAGAAAGAAATTTCTATCCAAGAAATTCATATAATTCATTCTTCAACATATTCTTAAATGAAACTCAACATTTCAAATCAATTAAATGCCATATTAAAAACCAATCAATGAAGAAGACCTTGTATCATAATATTGTTTCTTATCAATCAAAATAATATCAATCAGAACAATAATGAATAAAGCAATATAGAAGTAAGCAGCGAAAGAAAAATAAATTGTAGATCTTGGTATTATCTTACCAAAACGTTTCTTGAAAATGGAGACTATATTAAAATAAATCGTACGATTATCTCAAAGTTTACTCAATAGTAAAGCTCTAACAAAACTAATGTTTTTTTTTTGTTTTAGTTTGATTTTTACCTTGCTTGCACTTAATTTATGCAAATGAGTACGAAGACTATCACCAACAACTAAATAAATTGAAACCAAACAAAAAACTGCTGCTTTTCGTACACTTGATGTTTCACTATCCCATGACTAAAATTAAAAAAAAAAGGAAAAATGAAAAGAATTATTTATATTCATAATAAATTTCAAATCAATCTTATAGCATTGATCATATACATGTATATCACATGCAAAGGCAGGAATACAAAAACAGAGCAATTGTATGAAAAAGAAAAGAAAAGAAACCAATTCTTACGCTTTCTCCACCGGTGAGATTATGGGAATGAGTATCCCATGCCTTAGTATTTTTATTTAAATATTTCATATTATTCATTATTTTAAAACAAACAAACAAAAAAAAATTTAATAATTACCGTTAATAATGGTGGAATCATTTCAGGCATCAGTTCAGTACATGTATCTTTATTCATTAATTCAATTGTTTTTTGTAACATAGCAATAGCTGATTGATTCATTGGATATTTTGCTTGTTCAATTATTGGTTTAAGTACTCGAATAGTATTTTCAGCTGGTAAATATTCTGCTGCAGCATGAGCTGCTTGTTCAGCTGAACGAGTTATCTTCAAAAACAAAAAAATAATTTTTGTTGATATTTGACGAAAGAAAAAAAAGAAGACAAATTATTATTCCTTACTTCACTTTCTGTGTCACTCTGTGCTTTTAATATTCGAAATATAGTTAATTCAATATAATTCATAAATAAACTTGTATGATGTGTTAATAATTCACGTATTATACGAAGACTATAAACTTTGTATAATATATCATCTTGTTCATTATCAAGAATTTGTGTTAAAATATTTAATGTTTTACTAAATGCTAAATTCCATGTATCAGAATCATTTAATTTCGAAAATTTTAATATGCAACGTAATGCATGTTGACGTTGTTCTTTTCCTAATGTTGGTTGATTTACCATATTAAGTGCTATATCTATTGCAGCTGGACGATCAGCAGCATCAAGAATACTCTTTAATATTAATAGAAAAAAAAAAGAAATACAAAGATAAAATTACCACAAAAAAAACACAAGGACATACATCTGACGTTTCTGTAACATTGCTTTGAGATTGATTTGAACGATAAGCTTGAGGTGTATAATGTCGGCTTGCATTTGAACGCATATCTAAAAGATTTAAAAATAATTAGAAAATAGAAGAAAAACAATGGCTTTTTTTTTACCTTGATACCCACTATCTTTTAATGAACTTGAACTTGATAATAATATATCATCTTGTCGATGATTTATATTTAATGCTTGCATATTTTCCATTAAAACACGCATGTCTGATGCATATGATGGAGTTTGAACATCTGAATGAATTGAACTTGTCATTGAAGATGTTAAACCATTACTATTTGATCGTTGAAGAAAATCAAATCTTAACAAAGACAAAAATAAATATGTCGAATTAGAAAATTTTATTGAATAGTTTTTTGTGTTGTTTTACTTATTATCCTGTTGTGAATGTATGGATGATTGCATACTATTACTTGGTCGAAGAATCTTTGCAGCTGCATCCTAGAAAAAATAATATTTAATTAAATAAGTTAAATATTATTATACGATGACAATATTAGTTTTCTAGTGCTTGTGTTTAACGATCGTTTTCTTTCTTAGAAAATATGATTGACTCAGATCACTTATGATCGAAGACTAGTTGTATTGAAATACGAGTACTAAAAACGCATATAATGTTTGTTGAACTTTATGGTCAAAAATGATCGAACAATTGAACGGTTATAAATGTAAAAAAAAAATGAGGATAGAAGAATAATGTTTGATATGATACGAATAGATTTTGAAACAGTTATCTCTAGGTTGATATCGCGATCAATATAGCTGGTTTCACACATATCTACTCCCAACGCTGACCTTGAATATTGTTTTTACAGTTCTAGGTGCTGTTATAGTCTATCTTGTACAAATACGTCTGCACTTTTTCTTCTATCTGTCTTTCATCTCTGTCTAGTGCACTTTATAAAAAAAATGTCTATTCATGGTTTATCATATGTGTACATATCAAGGACTGATGATATCACGCTATTTCTGACGCAACAGATGAGCTCTCAACATTTGACCGTGACAGAAGAAACAAATTCAAAATATATAAGACACTAGATTTACTTGAATAAGTTCATATTCACATCAAAAATTGAATACAGCTCTTGGTCATGTAAAGTATAAGTTTCTTGTTACGACATGGCAAGCCGACATAAGTTTTTGTAATTTTTCATCAAGAAGTTCATATTTAACACGAAGTTTTAGTTCTAGGTGAGAGCGTTCATCTTCGTTTGATTCACACTCACACCCTTCTGAAGATTGGCATCGAGCTATTAAATTACTGTTAATTTATTATGCATTTTCCTCGATACCATCATTTATCTGTCTCTAACACGAGAAAATTCATCGACTTCGGAATCTATCAAAGATTTAAGAATAGAGTAACATGCAAACTTGATAATGGCTGAAAAATTATAAGATAGACTTGTGAACTTGAAGAAACGTGTGAAATAGGAACATATGCATGAACAACTACAACAATTAGTTGCTTTTTTTTTCTTTTCATAACAAGCAACTTATACTTCAAACGAAAAAAAAACTTCGCTCAGTTTTTGATGTGAATGTTAATTTATTCAAATAAAACTAATTTCTTATATTCTTCATTCTTTTGTCTATCTCAGACTCATCTGTCGGTATGTCTACGATGTCATCTTATATTAAACAAAAAACTTGAATAAAATAAAAATAATAACAAATATAAAGTATTATCACAAAACAAATTAATTAAAAAAAATATCAATCTTTAACTTGGTTTTGCATCAAATATATTAGAAAGTAGAAAAGAATCTTTTGTAATCTAACCAAACTCATTTCAATCCACATATTCAAAAGTTTGATTATGATCAAACTTAATAAGAATATATATATGAATGGTTTTTGTAGCTACTCTTAACAAAATCCAAGAACATTGAAATCAAATAACAATCTTGGAACACTTTTTTTCAAGTCAAATGAAAACTATAAACGATATAGAGAATGTTCTTCGATTTCTTCAGAATTAACAAAAAAACTTATCTTTAGAAACTTTTTCATTTCACTGTAAACTATATGATACTTTCCATAGATGCAAGACTCTGTCGGGTCAGTTCTAAATCCAAAGAATTTTGAATCCAACCGGATTTACTTAAAAGAAGTTGTACAATATTAAAAATATTTCTCTATATCTTTTAAGGGAACCTCTTTGAGTGTCAAATCGTTTTTCGACTAAGACTATGTTCAATTGATGAATACTAATGAGTAATAGAAAAATCTTTCATGGTTTTGCTTTTCAAGACCTTCGTTCTTGAAATATCGAAATTTTACAGGATTTTTCAACGAAAAGCTGTGATCATCTCTTTAAGTCACATGGAAAATCGCCTTTTGACTTCAAACTTTACTCAAATAAAGTTCTCAATGCAATTAATTCATTGGTTAAATTATAAGTGTTCTAATATGTTTTATCCTGAGACATTCAATATTTGAAATTCTCTCATGTATAAAAGCAAATTCTGTTCATACGTTCAGATTTTAAGAAAAAAGGTACTAGTTACAAAATCAACTCATCTCATAATAAACTTTGTTCCTATATAGATTGAATTCGAAACTCGAAAGTCAATTTTGCATATGACTTGATGCGGACTACAACTTTTTGTTAAAAAATTCAGTAATATTTTGGTATGTCAAGAATAAAGGTTCGGAAAACTAAACCATTTTAGACTTTTTTATTATTATCAAATTATCATCATATTAATCGATAAATGATTTGACATTTAGAGAGATTTTCTCGTTAGTTAAGGATTTTGTCTATCTATTTTCAATTCAAACCTAATCTGTAGATAAAGACTTTTAATAAAATGAATAAATAAAGATAATCTGATTAACATAAAAACATATATACATACTTGATAAGTAGATGGTAAAGCAGTAAGCATTAAAGTAAATTCTGGTCTATTGAGATTATACAAAGCCAGAACAACACCTTGAGCAGCCTTAAAAAGAAAAGAGCAATTTCCTTGTTATATTCCTGAAAATTTCTATTTAAACCTTTCGCATTTCTAAACTCTTTGGTTCACTTGACCAATTAATAATTTTTGATAAAGCAATTCGAATATCTGCATTGTTAGCTATATCAACAGGTTCCATTTGTTGTATAATTTGTTGTAAATATCTTAAAAGTATTTCTTTAGCTTTTATTCCTGGTGCTGATGAATTATCATTAATAAAACGAATAAGTACAGTAAATTGTGCATGAACATCAAATGATGTATTAACAATTGATAAACATGTTTTTAATTTTTTATAAACTGAATCAAGTAAATCAGGAGCACCCAAACGTATTAATAAACGTGTTAATAATGTATAAAGCCATTCATTTAATTCACGTTTATATGCTGTTATAAATTCAGGTAAAACATCAAGAAATGCTGTAAATACTTGTGAATGTGGATCATAAAAACGTTTTGTTAATAATTCAGTTAAACGTTTTAATTCATGAGTACTAAACGAAAAAAAAAAAGTATTTCGAAATTTTTATTTAAATACAAAAAATACAAGACAAAAGTTTTTTTTTTTATTTTACCTAAATACACGACCTGAACGAATCATATGATATAAACTAGCAAGACTTTCTTTGCGTTCAGTCCATTCATTACTTTGCATTCGACGTAAAACATCAGCTATATCCTAATAAAACATAACTTAGGCATTAAATTAAAAACAAAAGTCTTTTGATTAAACAGTTACTTCAAGTGATCTTTCGGAACATATACTTGATGTTTCTGATGCATCATCACCACTATCAGCACCCCAAGCACCACTCACACGACGTACATGTTCACCATAATCACTTCCTGGTGCTCGATAACCATATGGTCCTAAAAAATGAAATTAATGCCCTGTTTCAAAAATAAATAAATAAATAAATTTCATCTAATTAACAAAATTCCCATTTAATAGAATCAAACAGACAATATAAGAAGAAATATATCTACGATGTTAACATACGAACAACATATACATCTATAAAACTTACGTCCAAATCGACGTTTATTTCCACCACCACCTCTAGCAGTCACCGCTGAAAAAATTTATTCTTTTGTTTTTTTTAAATCTCTCAATATTCGTTTTTTTTCTTATGCTTATTTGAGAATCAAGAAAAAAAAAAGAAATTCTCATATGATAAAACATACGTGTTCGTCCTGGACTTGATTCTCGACTTGATATTCTTGAGCCACCACTTGAACCAATTGGTATTCGTGATCGTGCATTTGTTGGTGTACGTAATGCAGATGATAAGTAATGTGATGATTTTATTGAATTTGGTGATGTTGAACGACTACCAGGTTGTGATTGAGAAACAACATGTGGAGGACGAGAATTGATTGAAGGTGTTTTTGTATTTGTTGTAGTAGCTGCTGATTGAGCAAGAAATCTTGGTCGACCTAAATTATATTTTTTTGATTTTTATATTATTCAAGTAATTATAAATCCGAAAGAGGAAAAACAGCGGATATTAATTTAACCGAGGCTGCAGAAGAAATTTTCAGCTTATTATTCTTAAATAACTGAAACACTGGAAATCAATGTATTTGGCGGAAATCGATTTGAAAAACTCATCTAAGGTAATTAGAACAGTTAGAACAAAAAAAAAAATGTTATCATGAACAATTCAAAACTAAGTGATGTTAAAAACAAGCATGAATTACATTTGCCTACTGGATTCGTCGGTCCTTGACGAAAGTCACCATTCGAAAAATTGTGTTTATCGATAACAAATACTTCACTATCGATAGCATATTTAATCAATAAAATGATCGAGTGTGTGCGGCTAGGAGATAAAAGTGAAGGATTTAATACAAAAACGAGATACCTATGGCAAATCATGACGTGACTTGAAGCATGCTATGACGGTGTTACAAAATCGATCATTTTTGAACTACATGAAACACATCAGCAAAACAACTATATTCGCTTTGTCAGAATGTAAACGATTATTTGGTGATAAATTCATGTTTTAGCAAGACAATGGTCACTCTCATGCACTCGAGGCTTTTCAAGCTTAGTGTAAATAACATTTTTCCTGACTTTATCGACTGCAAAAAGAAAATGACTGTCAAACAGTCTAGATCTAAATACTTTAGATTATTATGCTTGGAACGCTATCGATCAATATATGAGATAGAAAAAAATTCAAAACTATCAATCGTTATGACAAGAAATTGTCCGGATCGTATAGAGTTTTTGATGAATATGTAGGATTTTGTTCGCTCTCTTTGACGATATATTTCGTTTTAAAATAAAGTTGCTAAGAATCTAGTCTGCAAATATCGAAAATTTTTCTGCCGCATCAGTTATATTCGAAGCTATAGCTTACAAATTCCTTAAGAATTCAAGGTTGAAGTCTCTGCTGTTTTTTTTTCATGTATAAGAACTTACCAGTTGTTTGTTGAACCGTTGGTGTAGTTAGATCTAAAATAAACATAATAAATTAATCTGAAACTTTCCAAGAGAATATCTTACTTGTTAAATTATTTTTCTTTCGTAAAGCAAGTTCATTAGCACTAGATGATCGAGCAATAGCACCTGGTGATTGTTGTTTATCTAGAATATTTGAAAAATATTATTAAAAAGAAACTAAATATAAAAAAACATCTTAACCTACCATTAATCACTGTTCGACCTTGTCTAGGAGTAATTCTAAAGCAAATGTTATTATACCTCATAGTAAAAAAGAAAAAAAGAAATTCTTACTCTTTCACAGCACTACGCAATCGTGAAGCACCTGTACTGGCTAATGAATGTGTACTTGATGAATTACTCATTTCGCCCTATTTTATTTATATAAATAGATAGAAAAAAAAAACAAAAAATTTAATTTAAGAAAACAAAAGCAAAAAGGAAAACAAAAGCAAAAAAATATTTTTTTTGTTTTTTTTTTTTAACTAACCAATAATGTTTTCTTTTTTGATGCATCAAGCGAAGCAAGTAAAGCATCAGCTAATAAAGGAAAATGATCACGAAAAAATCCAAATGCTTTTCTTGAATATGATCTTGCATCAGCATCAGCATCAAATAAACCTTTTTTTATAACATTATGTATTAATTGTCCATGTTTATCCAAATAAACAAAATCCCATTGTGAAAGCATAGTAATTAATAATTCATATGTATGTCTAATTAAATTAAAATATAATTCATTAGAAAAAAAAAAAATAAACAAGCAATCTTTTCAAACCTTCGAATATCTTTAGATTTTGATTCAATTCCAGCTAATATAAGTGGAATTAATTTACTTGATTGTGTATTACTAACAATAAAACGCATAGCAACAGCACCACTTGTTGCAATAACTTTAGCACTATTTTGTATTAAAGTAAGCATAGCTGGCATGATACCTTCAGCTGTACGTTCAAAACGATTTGTTAAACGTATTGACATATATGCTAATGTAATACAAGCTTCACGAACAATTTGTGAACGTAAATCTTTAACAGTTGCTATTAATGGTAGATCAAGTTGACGAAGACTACGAAAAAATTCTTCATATTGATCACCATTACCCGCTATTATTGAACGTAATCGTTTAAGCTAAATATAAATTAATAAAAAATAAATTTCTAATTTGTCGTTCTTTCTTCTTTCTTACAGCTTCAACACGTTTTTCCCAATCATTATTTGTATCAGCTAATATATCTCGAATGCTTAATAATTGATTTTCAATTTCTTTACCCGATGAAAACTAAATTGAATAATATAAAATTAAATATAGATATATGTATATACAAATAAGCTATTAATTTTTTTACTGGTATAGCATGAGATGAATTGAATGCATCTTCGAATGTAGCTTCATCAATTGCACCACTAGCAGCAGCTAAATATAAAAAGAAACAAAAAGACAATAAAAACTATTGTATAGCTTTTTTTTATCTTTTTCTTCTACTTGATACAATACGAATTGGTTTGCGGTTCATGATCAAATCTTACGTCATCAACGATAGAGAAATGTGTGCATGCACGTAAACTGAATAATGTGACTTAGTGTAACAATAACACACACACATACAAATACATGTATATATATATATATATCATAGAATGCAAAAGAATAAGAGAAAGGAGGAAAAATAAAAAGAATGACTGGTGCAGATGTAAACGACAGTACAACAGCAGTTGAGATTGATTAATGATGATACGCGAGAGGTGACACGATACAACAAAAAAAAGAGATCGAATACCTCCTGTTGATAATGTAGATGTATATGGACGTGGTATTCCCGATGAAGAACGTGAACGACGATCCGTTGAAGAAGAAGAATAAGGAGATGCAACTGTATCTATATCTGTTTCTATGTCCCCCATTGTGTTTTTCATGTTATGTTTATATATTCAATAATTAAAATCTTTTTTATTTATTTACCTGCAGATATTGATGCAGCAAGATTTCTTGTTGGAATTCCACCAGCTGGTCTTGATCGAGATGATGTACCATTATCAGAATTTAATCGAGATTTAACTGCTGATGATGGTGGTTTAGGACGAGCTAAAAATAAATTCTTTCCTTTTTTTTTTAATAACATATAACAAACACATGATATATTCCATTAGTAAAGAAAAAAAAGAAACAAGCAAAAAAAAGAATCTTACGAGGTTTACTAGCCAAAAACATCACATCTGTAATAGGCACCATCTGTAGATGTAATATACTTTGTTTCTCTTCGTTTTTATTCTTATGATTGTATGTTGAAGTTTAAATATCAATGAAAACTATATGTATATACATCACCATCCCTTTATTGTTTGTCGTTGCCTCAGGTTGTTAAAAATTTTCGAACGTACACACAAGTGTACGAGAAAGAGAAGAAAAAAAAACGATCAATTGATAAGTTCAAAAAAGCGATTACTCCTTGATATGATTGAAAAAATAAGGGAGAGAGAGAGAAGGACGGACAAAATTTAAACATTCAATATATGAAGCGAAAGAGGAAGAAATTGAAACAAATACACACACACACAATGGGTTAATAAATATGTGTAAGTACATGGGTTAGACCTTGTATATGTATAAAATTTGTTTTACCTGGCAACGATTTTCTCGTATGACTCAATCGTTGAAATCCAGCATTAAGTAATGGATGTAACTCATCATTCTCATCTTCATTTAATGGTGGTAATTGAAATTGAGTTGATGACGGACCAAGAAATTGTTCCAATAAGGATGGATCCATAATAATTTGAATTTATTTATTCGTAATATATATGTATATACTGTTAGAAGAAAAAAAAGCCCAGTCTCTGCGACGCTCAAGTACGATGGTGTCGGATGGTAAGGTAGTTAGTCGTGTGTACACATATATGTATGGATATATGTACGTGTCCCTCAAACACCCTATTTTTTTTTCTTATGCAGGTTTTTTTCTGTACTCACATATACAGAGTCACGATCAGCTTATCTTCATTTATATCTTACGTTGTGTGATGAACACATATATATACATACACCTTACACCTTCAATGAAGCTGATGAGTGAGTTAATACAATGCAAATATGATCTTCCATTTCGATTAACGGTCAGCAATAGTAAAAGACGTTGACGACAAAAGAGAAGAAAAAAAAATAAAAAAAAAAATGAACGACCGCAGTCACCCAGGTCACCTCTATTCACACTACTACTCAAATCGATCGAACATCACTTGACGCACATATTACGCGTACTTTTCTCTTTTTCTTTGTCTCATACAACACATAAGGTGTTTGAACGAAAAAAAAAACGACGGGAGGTGTCGACGACGAATTTCTTTTTATACAAAAGGATGAATATGAATGTACATATATATATATTCATATATACACACGTGCAAATCCAGATAAACAATAAACTATAAATGTCTTGCCAGACACATTTATGGTATCAGTTATACATAATCTTATTAAAACTCTTTTTCTTACCGTTGGCTAAAGAAGCTGAAGTATTACCATCTGTTGAATCAGACGTTTTAGCAATCATTCGACCGCTTGCAACAACGTCATCGAATTTATCGTAAAGTTGTTTTAATCTTAACAATAACAAATAATTTATTCAAAGAATAACAAAAAAGAAAAAAAGAAAGAAAGATAAAGAAAAAAGTATAAAGTAAAATAATCATTTACTTGGCTTCTGGTATGTCTCGTTTGGCTATATCACCACGAACTTTTTCACCAACATGACGATAGATTTCTACAAGTGTATCAATTGCTTGTTGACGTACCTAAAGTTAACAAAAAACAAATACGTTTATGCAAATATATTCAATGAATTTGATTTGAAAGTATTTACAGTGCCGTTTGAATCCGATACAAGTTTACAAATCAATGGAACAAGTTTATTCAATTGAATTGTTGATGCACCAAACCTAAAGTAAAAATAAAAATAAAAATAAAAACAAAAAACCCATTATGATAAGATTCATCATTTCTTCATAATAAAAATGCTATGAACTAAAAGAAAACTTACAAATAGGTTCTTTTTTTCATTTATTTCACTTACCTTTCATTGATAATCTGTGTTGAATAAGTTCGTCTCATTTCGACTAGACAATATAGTAGCAAAACAACAGAAGTCTAATCCCTTCTTTTCTTTTGTCTATTGATCACAACCACTATCAATAATAAATAGGAAATCACCTGCTTTTATATATAGATTGACTAACAGCCGTCAGTACATATAGACACAATGAGAACGATGACAAACCACAATACACAAAGAAAAGATTTATAATCCTTTTGATGACAATAATAACAACAGTAACACTCGTTTAGAGAAAATGGATAGTGACGATGACGATGGTGATCGTTAGCGAGAGAGAGATATGTCATTCTTATCTTGCGTAACATCCTACAACGATCATTAGATTGCCTATCTCGTTGCTTCATACATATTACGTTGTCTTTCTCGATATCGATATATATATATATATAGAATAGAGCTGCATCTTCGTGCTCGAAATAGCAGTCAAGGTATCCCATAGTTACAATATAATACTTATATTGATTAAAAAAAGAAGAAAAAAAGCGTAATGCAAAAACAACGTGAACGTCAAAATGGATTATTAATGACAAAAAATTGTTCCTTAATGAAACGTATCCATCGTTGCATATTACGAATAATTTTTTTTCCTTGTATTATGTGTAGTTTATTAGCTTTATTTATATGGAAAAAATTTTTTATGTGAATAGTTCGATAATAATAATAACAATAATAATATGATAATGATAAACTTACTCTGTAATTGAAGGATATTTATTTGTAAATGTTTTTGATTGATTTGTTAGCATAATTTTAGTCGTTTTGTATTATCATCCATATATTGATCTTTAAATTATTACTCTGTAATATATTTGGTATTTATAAGGTTATAGTGCGAGAAAAAAAATGAGGCAAAGGGAAAAAACAAAAGAGCGAGTAGAAAAGCATAAAGACTTTTTTTTCTTTGTGTCTGTACTGAATGCGGGTACAATTAGACAGTAGGAATAGATTTTTTTTTTCCTTCTGCCATATGCATATTGATCATGCCGCGTATTGCTACTCACGGTCGTTGACCGTCGGGCAGCTGTTCGTACATTTGTTTCTTCCTCCTTTTCTTTTTTTTTTGGCTCGTACATTCTGTTTTTTTTTCTACGATAGCATCATTTTAATTATGGATGGCAGAAGGACGCAGACATGCATAAGTGTCTATAAGAATAGAAGAAAATCAAAAGAAGAGTCAGAGTAACAGTTGATTCGACGTATGTGTTCAAATAAAAGGCATACACACATATATTTGTTTACCGCTCAAGCAATTTCTTTCAGGCGCCATTATTTCTTTTTTTTTTCCAGTAAAATTCTTAACAAACGTTGTAATAATAAATAGAGAGCTTGAGTACACTACTACTACTCTTATTAAGACAGAAAAAAAAATGAACACTTTTAAAGGACGATAGTTAATATTAGAGTGTGTCATACGACATATTCTATGTTGATAGTTAAATGTCATAAGATAAAAAAAAAGTTTTCTTTTTTTTCTCAGCTTCTTCACATCGGAAACTTGTTCTTCCGGTTGTTTCTATATTAAGATTGACGAACAATGTCATTTCTTTCTTTCTTTTTTTAATATTACAAAAAAATATTAATCGGTATGTGCAGATAATCGTTTTTTTTTAATTACATACTCATTTAATGTTCGTATTAATAATCGTTGACTTTCTTCTTTTATACGAAATTGTTTATTTTCAAATGATACTGGTTGTATTAAATCCCAAATACGCTAGACAAAAGAAAAAAAAATCGATTGTTGACTTTTTTATATTTAAATAGAAAAATTCTATACTTTTGCAGTAAATTTCTTCATTAGTTTGAAGAGAAGATGACTAGCTGCTTCTCGAATCTAAATCAAAAATCAAATAAATTCTATGTTAATAATCTTCCTTTTTTGGTTTTTATTTACTTGATCTTTTCCATCACCCAATCGATCTACTGTTACTAATAAAACTAAATGTAAAAGAAAATTTTCAATACGAATTTAAGTTTTTCATTTTTTTTTTCTTTTTTAACAAATTGTACCATTATCAAGATATTGTTCAAATTCATTTGTATCTAATCTTTCAATTAATAATTCTACTATTCGAAGACCATTATAAGAAATCTAAATACAATAAGTCATAATAGATAAGATTATAATCTATAGAAAACTCATACTCGATAATTACTGCCCTCAATCCATTTAAGCAATCCATTAATGAAACCCGTTAAATCTTCACAATCAATTGGATTATTTATGTCAGATAAATAATTTTCAAGTATAGAAAAACATTCTAAACGAACACTTGGTTCTTTTGATAAAACATTTGGATAAAATTGATCAAGACTTTTATTTTCTATTATTGATGATATATCTGCCATCTGTAGTTATGTATTGAATATCAAAATGTGCAAGAAGAACTGAGCTTGAATATAAATTAATCTATGAATATTTCATCGGATCTAATAAACAAAGATAAATATAGAGAATGGCTTAGAACCATACAGAACGAAAGAAGAAAAAAAGACTTATTAGTCATTTTTCTTGTAGAATTCTTCTACTTAAATGATCATTGGAGAAAAATATTAACCAATACAAATTGTATATATTACATTCATTCATTTGTATATATATCAATAACATGATAAATTACTCGCAAGCCTTGGAAGAGTGTGTGATAATATTTGTCAAGCAATTCTTTTTTTTTTTTTGTTGAATAATAAATAATAGATTAGATGTCGCTATTCAAAATAGAATTTTTTTTCACGGAACTTATTTTTGACGAAAAGAAATTATTTGTTGATTATTAAGAGATTTGTTATGAATTGTTTTTTCGTTTTTATGATTTACAGTTTTTATTCAGGATATAAATTTATTTGTTTGATTGAACAATTGCCTATGAATCGATATGTGTTATTGCTAAATATATATATATGTTTATTAAAATATACTAATAAAAATATTGATTACATGTATAAAATGTAAAACGGAAAAAATAATTGGACACGAGATTATTTGCTACGAAATGTTCTATGAGAATACTGACGATCACCAAAAAATACATGACACTGATTAAAATTAAAATTTTTGATTTGTTATATACATTCTAAAAGTCATCATATAAACGATCAAATATGAATGTTTAGTTCATTTCAATGTTTTATTGTAAAGTTAGCCTTGTTCGACTTTTTAGTACTACTTATTATCAAGAAAATAATGATGCATTTGTCTCATAAATCTCTATTAGGGATTATACTTTGTTGTGTATGATTTATTTCGCTGAGCTAATATGAATGGAAAAAGCTTTAATTAAGCAAGACTATAATATCGATTTGTTGATAGTATACTTACTGTTATATTTCAAAATTAAATGAAACTAAGTTAAATTTTTGACATGTTATGTAGCTTTTGATTTTCTACAGAAAAAAACTATCAAATAAAAAGTTGACCTTCAAGGCACTATGAGGTTCACACTATCAATAGACAGGTAAATCTTATGGTTGAAGTTCATTATGAATGGTCATCTAGTAGTGTATAGAGTATCCGTTTAATGGAGAATTAGCAAGTTCATGATAAGTATAAGACATCGAGAGGTCAACTCTATACCACTAAATTACAAGTACTAGTGAACTTTAATCATATCACTGTGATAAGTACTCTATGCATTATCGATAGCTTATCTATATAATTCTAACAAGGATGAAGTTCTAATTTTTCTGAGATGAAAATTTTCATGAATAGAGAACAATAAAAAGTTCCCGAGATTGTTTTCCTTGAGGCTGTTTACTTGTCAATTAATAGTGTAAACCTCATATTGCCTTGAAGGTAAACTTTTTATTCGCTATGTTTTTACTAACTTGTAGACAATGAAAAGTTACATGATATATTAAAAATTTTGCTTAGTTTCGTTTGATTTCGAAATATAACATTATATATCTATTATCAACCAACAGAACTATTATTTTATTCACCTGTTGATGAGTGATCTTTCGGTATATTGCACGAAAAAAAAAACAACTCTTTGATTTACAGAAATATAAAACTAACTCATATTTATGAGAGTATTAATCATTATTTTTTTAGAAATAAAACGAATACTGCTGACACGTTGTTTAAAACTAACTTTACTCTAAAACATTGAAATAAGCTAAACATTAGGATCTGTTGATTTTCAATGATTGATGACTTTTCGAATGCAGAGAAAATCAAAAATTTAAACTTTTGACTAGCACCTCAGTTTCTTGCCCTCCTCATGAAAGCTCTATTAATACTTTATATTAGTATTAATATCACGTTTTAAATAACGATCAAATGTCGGCACAATACGTGTATATGTACCAGTCATATATGGAGATGTAAGAAGAAAATCAGCCGTTGATAAGTTACATGCCATTGGAATATTCCAGACACTTGCTAAACGTGTTAATGCTCGAACATCAGAATCATGTGGTTGAGCCTCAAGTGGATCAGCAAGAAAAATAAGCATATCAATACATTGTTCAGCTATTTTAGCTCCAAGTTGTTGATCACCACCTAATGGACCTGATTTATATCTAATTATTGGAATACCTAATATTGATCCAATTAAAGATCCTGTTGTACCAGTTGCATGAAGTTCATGTTTAAGTAATTGATCTCGATTTCGTTTAACCCATTCAAGTAATTCACCTTTTTTATTATCATGTGCAACTAAAGCAATACGTTTTCGTTGACCCATTTCGAATGCTTCAGATTCAATATCCGACGTCATTCTCAATCGAAAGATATTTCAATAGATCTAGAATACAAAATAAAACATTACATTATGAATAGTAGTCTATTATCGATTGAATTAAATCATTTGTATCACATAAATCAGAAAAATTAAAGTCTTTTTTTCTTTTATATATACAAAGAATTCAATCGATAATAACTGTCTCTATAGTTTCAATTGTTAGTAAAATGAAGCATAAGAATTTAAATATGAATTCAATTATTCTTGTATAGCTTATTTAATTGTCTATTTTCTTACAATTCAAAACCTGTCAATTATAAAAAAAACAATAAAACATTTTCAATGAAATCGTTTAATAGCTAGTATATTGGTTCTATTGCGAGCGTAGCTTTGATCAATTCTACAAAATTAGAAGCAAAAACAAAAACAAACGTGAATATTACAATGATTAAGTTTGCTGGTCTCTTGAGCGTGTTTTCAATATATATTTTCCCATTGGACTATCAGCAAAAACAAAGCCAAGTACAGTACCGATACCCATGCCAGCTATAAATCCAAATGAAAATCGAAAGAAACCTTTGTACATGTTTAATAATCCGATTAGAACAACAGAACCAATAACAATATATTGAGTAGGTATTAAAGAAGATAATGAAAATTGTTTTGATGGAGATGAATTCTCATTATTTCGCATGATTTTTAATTCTATCTACAAATTGAATAATAAATCAAAAGAAATCTCATTTATGAAAAGATGCAGGCAAGATTTTATTTCAAAAACTTTGACAGAAAATACTAATACACTTAAAAGAAAAATCAATCAAGATATATTTTATCAAATGACTGCTGATGCTCATGATTATCGCGTACTTTTCTCAAAGCTACAAGAAAATCTGCTTGTGTTATAGGTCTTAATTCTAATGTAGAATTTTCTTCATTCGTTTGCGAAGATTGCTGACATAATTCGACAATACGTTGCATAGCAGCTTGTCGACATATTTCATTAATATCACTACCTGTATGATTTGTTGTTTTTTGTGCTAATTGTTCAAGATCAACATCTGTATGAAGTAATTCATTCGATAATATTAATTGAAATATTTTAATACGTTGATTTAAATTTGGTAATGCAATATGATAACGTGTTGGCATACGACGTAAAATAGCTGCATCTAAATCTTGTGCACGATTTGTTGCACCTATAATAAGCACACGATTTGATGATGAATTGCTATCGTCAGTTTCTAAACCATCCCATAATGTCATAAATTGAGTTTTAACCTAAAAGAAAAACATATATAGTTCTTTTATTGGTTATTTAAAATTTTTTGTATACCATTCGTGTACATTCATGATCATCATTTTGACGTGTACGCATAAATGAATCAATTTCATCGATAAAAATAATGGCTGGTTGTAGTTTTTTAGCTAAAGAAAATATAGCAGCTGTACGTTTTTGAGATTCACCGTACCATTTGTCCAACAGGGATGTTACCTTAAAAGACAAAAATATAAAGTTAAAATCTTACAATATTAAAAATAATCTTCTATGAAATACTTAAGATTTCCTCGTGTCAAAGTCTATTGTTGCCTCAGAACATATCCCTGTCTAAATCTTAACAGTTCACAATAAAAATTTCGGCTCAAAATATGAAACTGTTCGTGAACTCTCATAACATCAAAGGTCAAAATGTAAATCTTGACCTAACAAAAATTTCTTCTCCAAATCTAATGGTATTGTTTTCGGGTTGCTTTTTAAATATTATTAAGACATGCCGCTGAAAAACTTCATAGAGTCCAACATTTCACAATACTAATTGTCTACTTTTGATGAAATTTTCTGTCGAAAAATTAGGGTAACTCTACTGACAAACATTCATTTTTTTCAAAAAATCGGAAAGGAAAATTACGATTCTATTAAGTTGCAGAGTACAATGTCGTCTTCAAATATATAAAATAAAGTTTGTTATATTATAGACATTGAGTATTACCCAACCATCTTAAAATCGCGATTTTATGACAGATAGTTGAGTCGTCAGAAGACTTGAAAAATTGTGTTTAATAAAAGGAATATCTTGCAACTAGCTGTACTATGAAACGAAATGTGAATTTTTTCGAATTCTGAAACAGTATTGATATATACGAATGATAAGCCGAACCAGAATGTACTGCAAGAGATAATATTATACGAGAAATTCATAGTAGATATCGTTATTCATCGGAGAACTAAAGAAAAAGTACAGAAGTAATGAGTCTAAATACAGGAAGAAAAAGATCAATGAGGACATAATATAACTGATAGTTTCAGAATCCATAGTCTTCAGCATGAACAGTATTTCTTCTAAGAAAAAATAACTTCACTATAACAGACATGTATAAGTGTTTGAAAATTTTCTCATAGTTTTATATTTTTAAAATAACTTGCATAAAATTATACATACTTGAAGATTGATAAAGTTTGCTCCTGCTTCTTTAGCAATTGCTTTAGCTAACATTGTTTTTCCACAACCCGGTGGTCCATAAAATAAGACACCTTTTGGTGTTGTTAATAATTTCGATTGATTAAATAATTCTGGATGTTGTAGTGGATAAATAACTGTTTGTCGAACATTATCAATAATTTCATCTAAACCACCAATATCTTGCCATGTAACGTTAATATCATCTGGATTAATTAAATCTGCTAAAAGACACATTTCATATTCATTAAAATTATTTATAATGGCTTTAGGTAGATTCATTTTTTTTGAAATGATTTCTGCTAATTCTTTTTGACGTTTTTTTTCTTCATGTGTTGGATCAAGTTGTTTTATTACATAGCGTATTAAAAAATAACTGAAAACCATTGAACCAACTAATGCTAATGCACGTGTACCTAATGATAATAATAATGAACGTATTTGAGGATCTTTTAAATTAAAAGTACGAGATGTTTCTGTTACTTCACGAGGAAATTTCGATAGTAATACCATTTTTCTTTTATTAAAAATTTTGTCTAAAAATAATAAAAATTTTGCATTATCTTTTTATTTACAATACATATACAGAATCTTTTCTCATAAAAAAAAAATGACATTTGTTTCGTTTGTTTTCTCAAAAACTTTAAAATTGTTAAACAAACAAATAGACAACAATAAAATAAATAAAATTGAATGCCTATCGAGTTGAGCCAATATTAGCCACGCGACGTATACGTCTAAAAGGAATAATGCTAGCATTCGTTTTTATTGAAGATAATAGTTCACCTTGTATTTCTATCTTGATCACGATTTTTTTTATCGATTTCAGCATCAGTTAATGTTTCTAAAAATGGACAATATTGTTCAGCATCATGATTTGTACGCATAGGAACATCTACTGTTGACATTGATTGTTCACTAATGAATAAATTTATTTTCATATATTAAAACAATTGAATATTCTTTCTGTTAATAAACTAACCTGTATGCAAATGTTTTTTGATGCCAACTAAGTTGTCCACGAACACTATATGCAATAGCTGTTACAAATTCACCACCAAGACCTTTTTATATAGAATATATACATTTTAGTACTTCAATTAGTATTCAACGTACCTAATTCAGCTGCTAATACACGGGCAAATTCTTCTGGACTATTTTGCTTATCTGACATATCCCATTCAAATTGATCGACTAAACTTACATTACCAACTTGAATATTCAACTAAAATATTTCGAAGAGAAAGTTTCAAGATCAAAGGAATGTTTTAATAAAAGTTTGAATAGAACTTGTGATTTAACGTTTTCTAGTGATATATTTTATTATAAGTCACAGTTGAAGTAAAGAATGCAGAAGACAAAAAAGGTTCTCTAGTCTTATTTGGTTTACATTACACGATTTAAATCGAATCAAATATCTTCAAGTTTGACATTGAAAACGATAACTATCAGTTTAAATTCAAAATTCTCTATGAGAAAAGTAGTTAATCTACGACAGACAACTACGTCTTAATTTAGAAGGTTTGCATCGTTTTTAAAGTCAACTATTCCATTGTATTTTGTGAAAATAAACAAATTAATATGAGATCGCTAACAAATTATCGTTTTTTGTTTTCAAATTCAATTTACTTTAATTGTTACACGTTGATCACTTTGTTCTTCTAGAAAGTCATCATGATGAGCTTCAAGTTGTTGTCGTATAGCTTGTGCAATAGCAGGTACAAACACAATAGTATTTAAATCAAGATCATCACAAAGAATTTCAGCAAACATTTCTGGTGTAATCAATTGTTCTATATAGAAAAACAAAAACAAAAACATATAACTTTAACATTTCATTGTTGTTCATATGAATAAACCATTCTTATTCCATGTGAATGTATCTCGTAATTTTTGTCCTTCAATTTCCATATCAAGTCGAATAGGAACAAGATCTTCAACTTGTTGAGCATTTTCAAGAGCAGCTGATGTATCCATATGATCAAAACTATCACATAAATTTTTAATAATCAATTAAATAATTTAATAAAACATTTTATACCATAATGGAAAAGTTTTTTTCTTTGTTGCTGTTCGATTTCGATTAATTGGTGTCGCTGATGGTACGGTATCAAGATGCTGAGAATCTGTTGAAAATGTTGATAACCCTGTTGATCTTTTTGATTTGTCACTAAAATTAATAAAAACAAACCTTATGTTGTTCTAACACTTAAAATTTCTTACGCTCGTGTTGTAGTAAAATCTGTATTCATTGTTAATGTTCGATATTTTTCGTCGTGTCCAATTAATATTTCATCAACTTCACTTGCACGTAATAAAATTAAATTGGTTGGTAATGATGATTCCACACAACCTTGAAATAAATAAGAAAAAGAAACATATATGAAAATAATCAAAAGGAAAATAACCAAACATTAACTAACCAAGTTCAATTAACCATTTCCGTTCCTCTGATGTAATAACACGGCGCCATAAAGATGGATATTTTTTATATAGTGTTCCACGAAATAGGCGTAAATAGTTACCCACCTTAAAAAAAAGGACGCACAGAACAGAAATAAAAGCGTATGCAAACACACACACATAATTGAAGAACGTGGTAGTAGACTCTCTTCTCTATTTTTTGTTTCTCTACCACTGACTGATGGTTTGACAGAATGTAAAAGAACGAAACGAGAATGTATTTTAGAATTTTCTACTTACTTCTGATCCAACATACATTTTTTCTTGATTACCAGGAAATTGAAATGGAACAGGGCGTTCAACGTAAGTTTTTAATAATGAATTTTTTGTAGGGTTTGATTTTTTGATTGTTGATTCCGGCTAGATGAAATCAAAGATCAATCGATACATATATCATAAAAATATTTCATAGTAAATACCTCTAACATATTAAAATATATGTTAATGAACAATATGCAAAATAAATAAAACTATAAATTAAAACAATAATAACAACGATATGAATGAGAATATACTAGAGCAAACATCAACCTTGTAATAATAATTTAAATGAATATATTTGAAATTATTTATAATTGTAATAAAGACATATCTTTATAATCATAAACAAGCAAATCAATCTATCTAGATCGAAGCAATCAGTTCAGTTATGTTTAGAGTACATTCCAAAGAAAAAACCTAGCAGCAGCTGACTTGATTGGTCATAATTCTACGATCTATGAAAAACACACTATAATAGATGTCGTTATCTAGCCTTATCATTTGAGAATAG